AGCTAACATCGAATCTAGAGGTGAGAGTATCGAGAAGAAGATCGCCAAATTAGATGGAGAGCTGGTTAAGCTTCGAGATCAGATGGCAAAGATGCGTGAGGGCCCCAGCAAGAACATGATCAAACAGAAGGCGTTGAGGTGAACTGTTGGGTACTGGTATACCGCTTTTTATTCACTTATAAGAGTGTTTGTAGGGTGCTGAAGATGAAACGAATGTATGAAAACCAAAAGGGTCAGCTTGATCAGCAGGCATTCAATGTCGATCAGAGCAATTTCGCTATTCAAGGCATGAAGGATACTCAGGTAGGCACCTTTTTTCATTCTGCTCACCGTATTTATGTGAAGGGGATTTATCCAGGTCACGGTCGCCGCCATGAAGACAGGCCTGAAGACAATGCAGAGAGAATACAAAAAGCTGAACATTGACCATGTGAGTCTTTTTGGAAAGGGAATGTGGGCGTTATTTCTAGTTTATTTTTTTCTGTTTAGATTGAAGATTTGCAAGATCAAATGGAGGATATGTTGGATATGAACAACGAGATCCAAGAGGCGATGAGTCGACAATATGATACGCCAGACGTGAGTGCTGCTAATTTTGGTACTGCTTTATTACACATTCATATGTGTGATATGCTGCTGTGCTTGCTTCTCTATTATTATACGCTCAATTGTTCATTGTTGTGGGATATATGTGGGTTTGTGATTGAAAATTGCATGATCGAGGACAAGATATCCGTTCAGCAAAGGATTCTTGCTTCCTGATTTCTGAGGGGCGGCCTATACTGTTAGCTCTTTTCACTAATACGTCTTCAGACAGTCATTAGGAGCGGTTGCTATGGTCAAACTCTTTATTTCGCCGCTTGAGTGGAACGTGGTGTAAGGGACTTCAGAAGTAGAGTCCTAGATAATTTGAAACAATGGAATCTCTGCTTGAGAAAGGTCCGCGAGCGCACAGGTTCTACCTATGGAGGCAGAATTTGCAAGATATTTGCGCCAAGGTGCAGCAATGCACACGAAACTCCGCTCAACGTCAGGTGTTCCGCCTATCAATGATGGTTACCACGAGGCTGAGGTGGCTTGTAGGGGTCACTGGTGAGCCCAGGAGAGGAGAAATACGCCAGGGAGAACAACGGTTACTCACGTCCTCTTTCAGAATCCCTTCCCCACCCTAAAGCTATGTCCGAAGTTTTCTGAGTGTGGCTCTCTCACTTCAGTGTCTCCCTAAGGCCGATGTCAGACTTGGCGAATCGCGCGATTCGCAGTCTGACATCGGCCTAAGACATGAGCTCCTGACAAGTATCACTAAAACAATCAATACCGTGTCCCTCTTCCTTTGCACTGTACTCTTGCATATTTCAAGTTAACCGCAAAAATGGGCGGGCGTTCTTTTACTCGTTTGAATCAGTTTTTTTCTTTTTCATCTCTGTTTGTGTACTGAATAGCCCTTCGCTTCCCTTTTCGACAGGATAGTCTTACCTGACTGATCGCAGAGTTTGCTTTTTCTTGAGATGTGCTCGCCTATGATTCAGCAGTGCGGTTGATATGTTTGAAAGCTAGCCTTATTTTGCGAAGGCTGCATGCTGCGCCAGATAAGTTAGCGCCAGTGTGCTCAGTATAACAGCTGATTTTCTAGGAGGGTGCAAGTAGGTACTGCTGCGCATTCAGCGCTGACCCTTGGAGAAGTAAAATAACTGCTTATTTATTTTGTCTTGGACGGGCTTATCTCAAAGTAAGGCGGTGAGAGATTGAGCTTAAGATGAGCTTGTTGCGGCGAAGCACTGTAGTTGAGTCGGTTAATCCTGAACAGAAGTTCTGAACATTAAAAGCAAGTGTCTTGCGTGCTGGAGATCAATACCATCGCTCAAATTAACACCACTTCGAAGGGACTTGTGCGTGAATGCAAACAATATTGATGAAATTGCTTTTCTTAAGTTTGATTTACTAGATTATAAAGATTTATAGATTATTTAGATTTATTAGAAGGCTTTCCTTTCAGATTGACGAGGCTGATCTCGAGGCTGAGTTGGCAATGTTGGGAGATGAGTTGGACCTTGGCGAAACGGACACGAATTATCTCGATGAGGCCCTTAGTGCACCTGGAGTGCCGGCTTCGAAACCAACCAGCTCCAAAGTATGTTTTCTCGCTTTTTAGAACTATGTACGTGATAGAATGTAGGAGAACCTTTTCTTTCCTCCACCAATGGGTGAATCTTCAGGTTGCGGAGGGCTTGGAAGTGGACGAGTTCGGTCTACCGAAGATACCTGCATGATTGGAGGGAGATTTTTATATGTACAGTATTTTTTCTGACCTTTTACTCAATAAATTCGAATGTGCATGACTTGAACAAAATAACTAGAAGGTTCCCATGTTTCAAGATGTTAGACATGTTGCCATCTTTCGTCTTGAATTTCAATATCGCCATGTGGTTCGTTCTCTAACCGATGACCATACGCTGCGCCTTCATTAGGGAATAACCACGCAGGAAAGTCTCTTGATAAATTCCAGATTGTTGAACAGATGAAGAACCAATTGGTGGACGTTACTTACTTTCGTTATAGGGTCCCACTTTCCAGGCTACTATGGTGTGGTGCATTTTTCATCACATGCGTAATGTTTTACATTTCAATGTGTTGTATAGAAGATAGTTCATCAAATGGTTTCATATGCTTCACGCTCCGGACTTTTATAATGTGATAAACATGTGAACAAAAAGAGCAAAATCAAACAAAAAACAAGGCCTTGAACTCCTGAAACGCTTTGTTACTAAATTTGACAGGGCTGGATTGTTTTTGACATCATTCGCAACGAGAGCTTATAACTTCTGTTTTGTTGTGATGACCCTCAAACCACCGTTTGGTCCAAATTATGCGGTCATTTAACATCGATTCATTGTTGAGAATGCGTTGAGTCGTTCATAATGTGCACTTTTACCACTGAAAATTGAGTTAGCTGAACCACGTTGGAACTCCATTGTCAGATTCTTCTTCGCCCAACCTACTCAACACAGACAATTCTCAGAGTTCATGATTCAAGCGAGTAGGCAACTACAGAAGCATGCGTATCGATTAGGTGATTAGCAAAGTAGGCTCTTAGTGGGCGGAGTGAACAAAGTCGATACCTATGCCTAGGATAAGGTTAGATTGCTGGTGGGGTCACGGCCGGTTAGGGTTGGGAAGGGTTCTTAGAGCAAGCTCATGTTTATAACAAATTTTGCATTTTTTCATATTGTACATCTGCTAAACTGGTGCCAGTCGTTCAAATCGCAAAGCTTGACACCGGTCATCGTGATCACTAATTTGTGTGATGGTCTTATTAGAGGGTCTGGAAGAGTGTACGGTGCACGGTGCTAACTTAGTTGGGGGGGGGCACGCGGGCGGCGCGGCAGTCTGCTCGCCTGGCATGTTCGGAAATCCGTGGGCCAGGGGGAGTGTAGGCAGTCTAGGGGGGGGGTGGGGGCAGTCACTTGACATGCGTGAAAAGCTGGAATGTTCGAGTTTACACTGTCTCGCTCGAGAGAGCCCAGGTGAGCAGACTGCCGCGCCGCCGCGTGCCCCCCCCCCAACTAAGTTAGCACCCCCACCTTCGAGATCTTCAGTCATTTCACCCTTCATTATAACATCATACGGAATGGAGGATGATTTTTGATACCATACTTATTATTCTTTCCATGTCAAAGCTTTATTTTGGTCAATTAGTGCTTGATCTTAGTACAGTTGTTACAGTGACTGTTTCACATCTTAGAGAAGATAGCAGTAAATATTCAGCTTTTATAGCTTCGCATAATAATATCGTTGATGCACAACAATGTCCGGACTTTCTTGAATTTCCTCTACTGAGTGACAACCTGAAAAGTTTTGTGGATAGCCTGAACATATGGAAAAATGGCAACCAGTGCTAACCTGCGAGTTGCATCGTATGGGCAATTCCGTCTGCAGCAATTTGATCACTTTTAGCGACGCCTTCAGCTCCCTGTATTTTCCGGATTTTTTATTGATTTTTGTTTTCGAATAAACAAACATTGGTAAGTCTCTAGGCCGGAAAGACCTTTGCGACTAAACAATTGCTTGTGGACAGAACATCTTCCGTACCTTTACAGTGATCAGACTCCTGCATAGTACAGGACGTCCTATGAAGACTCCCTTAGCACCGAGAGCTATCGCTTTGAACACATCACGACCATTTCGAAAACCTCCATCAATAAACACCTGAACGTATTAATTGCTTGATCAGTGATAGACAAAATAGGAATTGCGCTGAATTGTAGGCGGTGTGCTGTGAACGGATTTAATATAAAAAATGGCAGCAACCCATGAGTGGCGCCCAGGAAGCCCCTCAGAGTCCATTTAGGCTGGTGTCAGAGTATGCGATCAGTCGCGCGATTCGCCAAGTACTCTCCAATCTCGCCGCCATTAGTGATGATTGCATTACGGCTGCTTATGATTCTACTTGTACGTACGTATTCAGCGTTTCGAATGTTCAGAAGGGGCTTGCGACCAGCGAATTGCGCGAATCGCGCGATGAGTCGCGAACTCTGACTACCAGCCTCGAGCAAAACCTTTCAGCTAAAGTAGGAACTCATAAACTCACCGGAACTCTTCCTTGAACTGCATGTACTACCTCACTGAGAACTTCAATCTGAAAAGAAAAAAAAATACTTCGAAGTACAGCTAGGGTTGATTTATAAAACATGCGAACTATTATAAATAACAGCCGCCGCGGTAGTTCGTTATGCCATGTCAGAATGTCAGCCTCACTACTATGATGGGAATTGTTTGGGTGGATCTCTAGTCTACAGTTACCAGGTGCTCAACAAACCCTCTTATTCAAAATGTGACGCTGAAGATGTGCGAGAATCAGCTGGACTAGTGATAATCCAATTAATGGTGAGCTGGGGTGTGGTAGCCGTAAAAATACAAGATAGCCATTTTCATCAGTTACCACGCGCATGGTCCGTGGTAAAATTTCAGATCGAGTCTCGCTCAGGTAAGCCATCCACCTTCCGACCCGTCCGGGTCGGTCAACTACTATCAGACCTCTTGGAGGGTAAAAACTTTGACATGTATACCAGCTGGGCCTCGCAATTCATTATATAGCCAATACCTCGTTCATGTGCTACTACGAACAGATCTGAATGTGCGGCGCATCTCAAAGGGTATTGGTCTGAACCAAAAGGTCCACTCCTTTTTTTCTAGGAGTGGTGATAGGGAGGCCAGAGGGAAGGGGTGAGGCTCTAACAGTAAATGTTACAGATTGACTGACAGTAGCAGGAGCGCTGTCCATTTGTCGTCCACCATGGTTCGACACAATGATTCCATGAACACCTCGACGAACAGCTTCTTCAGCGTCATCGCCTCGCATCACACCCTTGATAATGATCGGCAGCTTTGTACTCCTGAAGGTAAACACAAGTGTAGAAGACCGGTTGAGCTCCGAAATCTAGAAACTGACTTCAATAGCCAATCGATCGTATCCCAATTGATCGACGGGTCGATCTCGTTCGATACGTACTCCATAAAACCAGAAGATCCAGCTTTAGTCGATGGCATCACTGACGCCTGCAGCGAGGAGAAATTTGCAAATCTAAAATGAAATATCCCTAATCGCTTTCTTGGATATGTAGTAATTTTGACCGTAATCCCTCACCTCAACCCATCTGGAAGCGTGAATGCATTGCGAAGATCGGCTAGGCGTCTTCCCAGGACTGGCGCGTCTACTGTGAGGACCAGCGCTTTACAGCCACATGCTTCGGCACGGGATATCAAACCCGAAGTGATTTGTCTTGTCCTTGTAAACGTAAAGCTAAAATGTAATAGGTAAACAATATGGATAGATTTGAGTTATGTTTCATTAACAAAGCAATAGAAGTTAGATTATAGAAATCGATGTTCACTCTAGGTATCATAAAGCTCAGCATTTTTTGGAGGCCTAAAAAGAATATAAAATGGATAATGACTGTGGAGTGCAAGACATTCAGCGTTATCTTGTTCTGGGATAAGCCACGCATTCTATTTCCATTCAGAAGAAGTAGTGGCACTTGAATTAATGCGTGGCTTATTCTCTAATTGTTAGAGCGAATGTAAGTGAATGTATGTAATTAATAAAAGTCGACTGATCCCTTCCATCTCAGACTTGTCTGATGCTAACTAACCAATCTTCTCAGAGAGGAGGTGCATAGTAAGGCTTGACAGGACCCGATCCACTACCAGGAAAGGCATTCAACTTCCCATGGAACTTTGAGATGAGACCCAGATATATCGATAGAGCTTCAAACGCTGATTACAAATATGGAAACTAAAACTGCAAAATGAACCTGCCAAGGAAGTTGTGAGCAGTCAAAGTTGGCTGGAAGTAAAGCATTACACTAGCCTCCGGGCTTTCAGAGTCGCCGCGGAGCAGTGGTGCCCTCGCTATTCACCCTGGAGGTCATAAGCTCTCCTCCCGTCGGAGCGCAAATTCCGAGAGCACTACCACTACTCCACGGCGACTTTGAAAGCCCGGAGGCTAGTGTAATGCTTTACTTCCAGCCAACTTTGACTGCTCACAACTTCCTTGGCAGGTTCATTTTGCAGTTTTAGTTTCCATATTTGTAATCAGCGTTTGAAGCTCTATCGATATATCTGGGTCTCATCTCAAAGTTCCATGGGAAGTTGAATGCCTTTCCTGGTAAGTATAATCCACCTGATATTAGGCATGTACATATGTAGTAGCGACACTAGTGTCATAGCTCTGCCCGCTGTGATTGGAGAGAGAGATTGAACTACTTCGCTAACCCCTTTAATGTGAACAATGAATCCGATTTCCTATTTTTTGATTTTTAATGGTAACGTACCTTGCCGGTCCTACTAAGACTGGGACTGGGTACTAGGTAAATTACGAGTATTGAGGCACTCATGTCACTCAGTTGCGTGCGCACTATGGGGATTTCGCGTCAAGTTAAATAGAGTGCCCCAATGCACGTCCCACATCGCACACCACGTCCTCCTCCGACGGGCCTTTTGGGGAGTACCCCTTGCGCCGTCATTTATTTCTGCGATACTCGCCTCGTAGGATGAATATACTAGTTATCTGTAATTATGGCATTACTAAATGCACCACGTCAGTTGCAAAATCCAAATCAAGTGCAATGTCGATCCTTAATATAGAAAGGAATCTGAATGCGTGGCGCATCTCAATAGATTATTGAACGACCTGGGTTTCAAACTTTCATAGGTAATTTTTACTAATCCTGGTGATTCGTGAGTAACAGCTTTCGAGCCTACGTTTTATCTTACCGCAAAAGACCAGTACTAAATAAGCGATTTTGAAATACTGGAAAACTATATGTAAACTGTAGAGGGCAGTGGCACTTCTGAGCGCTGTGCCTTGTATTTCAGACCATAATTAAAAGCTAATTGCTTTCTGTGCATGATTTTGTAATATGGGTCGTAACGATGTCATCACCTGGAACCAAATTTCGACTCCTTGTTCTTGGGCCTGCATGGCAACCTCCTCAATAGCTGTTGTAGACCACGAACTACAAATCATTACTGCTCCAGCCATAGATGCTCCTGAAAAGTGATAAATAAAAAGGTGGGATGTTCAGTTGTCTCCTAGAGAAGCAAGAATTTTTTCTGGAGGTATCACATATCCGGAGCACGAATTCACAACCATTTTCGGCGGCCTGGGTGACACGACCTCTATAATGCGGACCTAACAGTTTCACACGACCATCTGTCTATTAAAAAGCCTAATTCCGGGGCTTGCCTTCAAGGGAGACGTCGATATCTCCAGTAAGACTACGTTCAGAAATGTTTGTTCAAGTTCTTACCTTTAACAGTGCTCAGTTCGCCATCTCTTGTAGCCATACGATGAAAAGCCGAAGGAGCAAGGCCAATTGGGAAGCTGAAGAATAGTGGAAATTTTTTCGGAAATGTTTAGGCCAAGAGGCACTTCGGAAATCTAAAAGCTGTATGTTCCCCTTCGCCACATTATGAAGAAGGTGCATATTGGAATGAGACGCACCTGTGCTTCCTCCCATACCATTCTACCGATGTGTCCACACTGGAAACGTCACGTAAGCACCTCGGGCGAATCAGAAACCTTGAAATGGGCGAAGTTCAGTTCTTTCACTAAGTCGTATATCGAAGCTTTTCTAGCGTGGAGGTTTTTACAACTTGTCAGGAAAAGTTCATAGGAATAAAGAATTGATTAAAATTATTCATTTAAAATGCGCTATTGGTGCGCTCAAACAAAATGAGTTCGTGAGGGAAAAAGAATCAACAAAGGAAGGATCTTCATGAAGACTTTAATCTTGTGCGAAGTTCCAACACTAGAACGATTGTTGTTGTCAGATCGGCACATAATTTCTGAACCACCTTGGCTGCTCTCCGATGTTAATACATTTTTATTCCTCTGATATCTAATCTAGTACACACCACCAATATGAGCCACGTGTTGCCAACGTGATGGTAGGTATTGAATGCCTCTCTAGTGAAATTGAATGGGAAAAAGTGGATAAGAGACAGATGGGCATCCTTTTGTCGTCAGGTCAGGGTTATAAGGCGGGTGTGAAAAAACTGTCTATTTAAGGGTCTCTATTTTTTATAAGGGCGGAAGTGGTGTAGTGGCAAGTGGCACGCTTACCACGCGAGCGGTCCGGGGATCAAATCCTGGGTCGTGAGTCGCCCGGGCCAACCAAGCCTTCCATCCCTCCGGGGTCGGTTAATTGGTACCAGACTTGTCTGGGAGGATAAAAAACACTGACTTGTACATCGGCTGGCCCCCGCAAGTCATTGTATAGGCCACATCGCATTCAAACGCCACTACGAATGTACAAATGGAAGTAGAATGCGTGCCGCATCCCAAAAAGGGATTGATCAACGGCAAATGCTTTATCCTTTTATTCTTCATAAAAATTTTCGCATTGAGTAGAACAGTTTCACGTAGAAGTACGTTATGCCTAGTTCTCCTCTCACAAAGAACGTTGCGATCCAGCTGTCGGCGGTTTACTTCCGCCTTGACTGTGACATGTGCACGAAGAGGTACCCACTGATCAGTTCCTTTCTTTTTCTAGCTTAAATTAAGAAGAGCCGGTTTGAATGAGATTGGACCATGACTGCCATATCTCCGGATTCCTTGGAGCTGGACTACTGCCGTTTGTTTGTTAATACACTGCAGTCTCTCCTATCCCCTGGCATCTGTGCTTGAAGTTCTGTCGGAAGAACCACATAAAGCCAACGGGGACATGATGGTGTCAGGAAGCGTTTGGAGTTGATTCAGGCTCAGGGTATGTGCAAATGGAGCTCCATATTTCTAAGTCTTCATTAGTTTATAGACAAATGCGTCAGTGCTGCCACCTGTCGCATCAGAATTGCTCTGGCAAAGAGCTAAAGGTCTATCATGATCCCTCTACAACAGTGTCAGGTACAGCATCCAGGTCCCAAGCACGGGATGGTTGGTGTGTGAAGCGGCCTCAAATAGAAAAGCAACCCTGGGTAGAGTGAACCGCTGGTGCACTGTGTATTGGGGGCGTGTGTCGGTTATCTTCTGTGCTTTCTCCCATGTAGCTTGGTGCTTGGAGGATCCTGATCGTCAGTCACGAAAAAAGAGGCTAACCATAAGAAAGAGCTTCTGAAAAATTTGGAACCTTACCATTAATTAGAGAAAGCAAAAAGCAAATGAGGTGACCAGCTCTTCGGATGCTGACTGTGGGTTAAATCGCAAGATACGATGGGGGAGCTCCATTAACAAAAGAGATTTTGCAGCAATAAATGTAAAGTGCCTTAGAGATTACGTGCCGACCTAATATATTGTGTTGAATACTGTCACAATATGAACTATGAGACGGATGCATGGCGCGACCATGTCTTAAGCTTCATGCTAGCTCACATATCCACCACTGTTTATATGTCTTGTCGGTTAAAATAAATGTTGAAATGACGCTGAACTTGTGGGAGGGACTATTCGGTACCACCCACAGCCCCTATTGTTGGGCCTATATTCTGACCTATCAAAGCAACAACCCCAGCAGAAGTCATATCAAAGGATCTATTCAGTGGGTGGGATAGAGTAGCCCACGAGTAGCACAGATGTGCCGTTGTCGCGGCTCGAAAGTGCGCGACAATGGCGCTAGGGTCTTACAAAGTCAGCATTTGGCGACTAATCTTAGCATTTGGACGAGTTACGTAGCGCACACCCCATGACACGCAACGTGGATTACGGCGTAGCGGCTAATTCAAATACGCGCGGGTTAGTTGAGCCATGGAGCAGGCAAGTTCGTACAACTCGTCTGGCCCCGCCCCTTTCCTTTTTCAAGGAGGATTTTGTTTTGGGCTTCATCGACGGTTTTCTTTGCTTCTTTTTTTATTTTTAGTCAATTGAGCATCCACAACTTCATTATAAACCGTTGTGACTGCACAAATTCGATCTGTGGGTGCCGATTCAAGGAAAGTTGCGCACATGACACATAGAGGAACCACATGCTCAGGGTGTGGGTGGTACCTAACAGTTGCACACACACCTTATACTGAAATTCTTCACTTAATTACTCTCTTTTATACTATGTCGCTTATGCTCTGAAAATGACTAACACCCACCTTTTGAATGCGTTTTCGTTCCTGTTTAACGTTAACTGGTCGTCTGAACCGGCCTCATAGTAGTCTCTGGTCATCTTTTTCAGTTTCATTGCGGATTCGGTTCGGTAGTCCTCAATGGTTAAGAGAGGACGTGTTGTTGATGTAGGCATCTGGAAGCTATCCCTTCATTGGAAATACACCTGCCAAAGCGATCAGCAGAAATGTTGTCTAAGGCACAGACGACTATGCAACCATCACGAGTTATACATAAAGGAGTTTAGGCGACAACATGATACAGCTACATATCACGATTCAAACATAAAACTACAGATGTTATGTGGTCCGACAGTGAACAAATGCCAAACAACCACCAGAAACACAAAAACTAGGCTAAAAATTGGGTTATGGTGAGCGGTCTCTTGCAGTGCTGCCTGGTGTCCCGTCTGATATTGAACTTGTGTAAGGTACCGGCAACGTTCGGTCGGACTGTAAAAAAGGACTAGATTTTTCAGACTCAGACGCTGGCGATCTCTCCAACATGTTAGCCGATCGAGTTTTATAAAAACCTCGCGCTGAGCTCAATAGAAGAGAGCTAGGCCAAAAACAAAGGTTTCCACAGTAAATTTATGGCTATGCGCGAAGTTACTCACAGTAAAGATCGGATTAGATGAGAGACTCTGATAACGAAAGGACGAGACAGAGCTAACGCAATAGAGGTGCAGACACCGCGGTGTGGCATTACTTTTCCCTCTAAATTCGTTCGCTCTTCAAACCAATAGCACCGCGTTAAAGCTATGCTTTTGAGCTCTGTTGGGTGAGCGATAGAAAGTAGTCTTTTCTTATTCTCCACGCGTTAATCCCACCCAATCGCATTGCCCACTGTTTTTGCTAGATGTTGTCCAGTGCATCTTCTGCCGTGACCCTGACTTCAGTGAGATTCTTCTTTACATGGTCTATCCACCTTTTCTCTGGATGGTGGCTCGACTTGTTCTTCGAAGTTCATAGCTGATCCTAGATCCCGTGGTCCTCCTTAGCACATGCCCATACCATCGCGACGCTGTTCCCGTACCTTCAGCTGGACAGGGGCAGTCTGCATGACCGCTCTGACATCCTCGTTTCTGACCCTGTCCAGTCGCGTCCCGCAGGCCCACTCAGCATCCTCAGCGGAGTGAAGCTGCCTTTCGTGATTCTTGTTCAGGGGCCAGCACTCGCTGCCGTATAGCATCGCAGGCCTTACCACTGTTCGGTACACCTTTCCCTTTGAGCGTTCTGGAGCACCATAACTTCCAGTAGGACTCCCTCCATTTCATCCATGCCGCGTTGATCCCGAGCTTTTATCGCCTGATCCACACTACCGTCAGCAGCCAGATCGCTTACAAGGTATTGAATATCCTCCGCTTTTTTGAAACGTTCCCATGACCGTCAAAAGTACCTCATAAAAGGTGAAAAAATGAAAGTGAGGGGAAGCGTCATTAAACCCGTTAGAAACTTTGCCGTCACAGTAATGTTTACACTGTCAAATGGTAGGGTGGGAGCGGGGACGGCATGGGGCAATGGCAATTTGACATTTTCAAGGCCTACACAACTATCACTTGTTGAATTAAGTATTGGAGGCGAGAGGCTCAAAGAAATGAAAGTCCAAATGATCGTACTCCACTCTGATGAGACACTTTTTTAGTGAATGAAGAGGCAAAATTTACGTTGGAAAGTAAGTTCATTGGAAATAAGGGTAAAGGTGGTCAGTGGAGCAGGAATGAAGCAGAACCACTCGAAACGACGCGGAACCCAAGAAATAGGACCCCTTCTTTGCCGTTGATTCGCACTGTATGGGCCGAATCTTATGCTCGTGAGCACTTCAAACTACGTTGTTCTCTTTGCTATCAAATTATCGCCACGTGTAGAGTGTGCGCGAAAGCCACTGGATATGGGTGGGCGTACCCGCTACGCGCCAATGAGTGACACCCGCTGAATCAGCGACGTCAAATCTTTCGCTGCTAATTGGATATCAGTCCGCAGACTCAGGAGATCCGCCTCTCTCCGAGCTATGCAATTTTCCACTTCTTTAACCTTCGTTCTTATCAGGAATCCTCTTTTAAAGGCAAACTCATAATTGAAGAGCGGGATAATCCTATTCAAATGTAAAGTTGTGGGTGCCAAGTTACATGAAGAAGAGAACACAAGAAACTATCGAGGGACTCGTAAATAGGAACCTCTTCTTCACCAAGTCTGAAGGGGGGGAGAGTATGGTGAACGTTTCGCGCTTCGCTGTTCAATTTCCAAACAGCTAGCCAACACAAATTCAATGAGTTCTTAGATGAAACCCTTCGAACAATTAGAGAGGAGTGCAGCGGTTAGCCGCAAGTTGGTGGCTGCACGATTACGACCGAATGCCTCAGTACCTGCACAAGCATTGTTGTTCCGGTGGCAAAAAGGGGGCTTGTAAAACGCGTGCCTTATGGGGTCGGAGAGCTCCTAGAGCCTAGCGCGCAAAGCTAGTGACATATCAGACGCTATGCCTGCTAGTTAACCATGGAGCGGTTCGGGGGATCGGTGAGTTGCTTGTCCAAGTGGACATCGTGCTTGCAAGTATATAAGTGAAAACAATGATATCGTTATATTAGGTCGGTCCATAAGTCTTGCAACAAACTACATTTAATGCTATAGAATTTTAGGGAGAACTCCTGAAAATCCGCAACATATTTCCTGACGTAGCATCAACCTTTGCAATTTCAGCCAACGGTCCAGCTCGTTGTCTGCTTACTTATTATGGATATTACACCGATTTCGCGAGAGGGCTCTCGGTGCCCTTAATTTTTACGAGTACTGCTTGGAATGTTCCGCAAGTCATGCTAGACCAAGGATTGGCCAGAAGATAGGCGAGGGCAAGCTCTCTCAAACCACAGTGCAACGGCGCTTCACTCTGCTCAGCGTTGACTTTTTTATTTGAAAATAACCCACACTCCAACCACCCTGTGACTGACAATCACGATGCTCTATCTGACGCCGTTGAAAAGGGATCTGGATAGAGTATCGATCATTTGCTAGAGCGATTCCGATGCGACAAGGAGACAGCACTGTGGCATCTCCAAAGACTTGTGAAGATCCGAAAATGTAGAGTTTGGTCCCCACGTGCCTTGAGCCCGATTCAGCTCCAAACACGATCTGACACCGTTATATGTTCATCGATACAGTGATTCTTTAGTAGTTGGCCATCAGTCCATTGTCGAGATGAGAAGTGGGTACAGTTTTACTAACAATGGAACAAGCAGCGATAAGTCACAGCTCAACAAAGCTTCCGAGGAAAATTTTATGTTAAGTTCAACCTCGTCCAAGTAGGGCCTTTCTCGGATTTTTGGTGGAACACGGGAGGAGTTAAGCTCTGGAAACCCCTCCGTGTAGATGTCGCAGTCAACGCGAAAGTCAACTATCCACAGCTCGAATGCAACGCTTTTAATACGAAAGAAAAACAAGGCAAAGTTTGCTTTTGTATGACACCGTTGAAAAACCTCTTGCTAAGAAAATTCAGGAAAATTTCGAGACTCTGGGACGGAGAGTTCTTCCGTATTCACGTTATAGCCCTGACCTCGAGGCAAATAATGCCCTTCTGCTCCCCTCTCCAAACCATCTCCTAGAGAAGAAAGCTCATCCTAACTATGATGATGTCAAAATCGACATCTGATCTTTCTTCGATCAGAATTCAGTAGAGTCCTACAAGGGAGGCATCGAGCAGCTACTAGTGTGTTGGCAATAGGTTGTAGATATTGATGGAGGGTAGCATGCCGGATGAATGGAACAAAAAGATAATGAAAATATTAAATTCAAAATTCGGCCAGTTTGTTGCAAGACTTATGGACCGACCTAATATAACGCATGTGTCAGAATCATGGGCGAATGAGTCGTATGGCAAGAGGCACAATTGTAAAGTGAAGTGCGAAATTCTGATAACTGATACGACTGAGAAGAGCATTCGAAACATTGTGATGTAGCTTTCACAATGGAAAGCGGTCAAGTTGATAGGTTGATAACAACAATGGTGGACGACAATAATGGAAAGGAACGGATAAAATTATGGGCAAAGAAAATGTCATGGACTAAAGATGCCATGCCGAAGTACTTACAGCATTTCGTGTTAAGCGAAAAGCCAATGGTTATAGAGAGGAAACAGGCTAAGTGCATGGGAGACCGAAAATTCGAAATGTAAAGAGTAGGTGCTTTCGGTACTCCCAAATAGGTGTCACTTTAGGCAAGCCTAGGACGGGCAGCAAACGTCAGAAAAAATGAAAAGTCGCTAACGCCCTTGGAAAGCACGCCCTACGTTGTTACGAGTAACAACGGGGGGTCGTACTCAGTTGAGCTTGGAGGGAGGGGGGTCGTACCCTCTCGGTGGCCGACAGTGGGATTCTTGGTAATATCGGATAATAGCCAGCACGTTACGTTTTCGTAAGATGACTGATACAGCATCTATAAACCACGATTCCCTCTAAATGAGCTTTCAAATGAATCAGCGAATTAGAAGGGCGCCCGAGGCGTGGCGCGTACCAAGGCAAGGAACGTAGTGCAAGCGCATGCTCGATACTTTCTAGCACATCCTAAGTTGAACATTACATTGGTCTTCCAAGAAGTTACGGGCAGTGAAACCTAAGAAAACTCGCGTTTTCGAGAAAATGGCTTGAAGAATACCCCACAAAATAAAAAGTAACAACGGGCTAATTTTTGAACTGCTGATCTTTCAGAAACGCTTGGGTGCTCGTTAGAAAGCTTGAAACCTGTGGTTTATTACACCGTGTTCAGCTTCCCAAATGAATGACTTTGAAGGAAGTTATGATCGTTTGAAGGTAAAAAAGTCGCGGTTCCAAAAAAATAGTAACGCAAACCCCCAAAAAAGTAACAACGGGACTAATTTTTGAACTACTGATCTTTTCAGGAACGCTTGGGTGCTCCTTAGAAAGCTTGAATCCTGTAGTTTATTATACGTGTTCAGCTTCCCAAATGAATGACTTTGAAGAAGTTATGATCGTTTGAAGGTCAAAAAGTCGCTTTTGCACAGAAAAAAGTAACAACGTACTAAATTTTTATTAAATTAACTTTCGAAGAATTTTTACCCATGGTTGGAGAGAGAATAATTTGAATTTTCCAAATCAAATCACTTCGGCGCTGAAGCTCGAATATG